TATAGTAGTATCAGTCAATACAATTGATATTATAGATATAGCTGATCTAATTAATACAGTTAATGTAATCAGTATAACTGATTTAATTAATACAACTGATTTAATTAATACAGCTGAATCAATTATATAATTAATACTCAGATCTGATTCTTCTTTTCTATTCTTATTTCTATCAATTCTAACACTCTTTATTCTTCTCTTTTTTTTTTCTCTATTATACTCTCTCTTTATTTTACTTCTATCTTCTTATTTATCTTCTTTAATATCTCTGTTTATTCTTTTTTATTTATCTAAATTAATATTTCTTTTTCTCTTTTCTATCTGTCTACTATACTGAAGTTATATTGAATTATATAATTTTATATTATCACAGATAATATTATTTCTTCTCTACTTTATTTTAACTTTTCTTTCTTCTTCTATACTATTTCTATTTTTTTTTAGAATAATAAAGTAAACTGTTTCTTGATGAACTGAGAGAATATTCTCTCTTTATTTTTCTGTAAAGTCTCTCAGATATAATAGTGATGATTTCTATCAGAGAATCATACTATAGCTTTATTATAAATGACTATATATTGAATTAGAAGTAAATATACAGTTTAATATAAGTTGAATTTTCTCAAAAATTATCATCTGAATTCTGTTCTTTCTCTATATATATATATAGAAATTTCTTCAGTGTAGTATATTTTTATACTCTTTGAAAGATCTCTGAAGTACAAACACTGTCTATACTTCTTCAGAATATTAAATCTATACATATATATATATATACTATATTAATATTTACAGAGATACTTTTCTCACTGATTTAAAAAATCAGTAATAAAATTATACAATCAGATAATAGTTGTAATCTATCTGAAATTTTTGATTTTTATAAACTTTATAAAACTGCTGAAACAGACACAGTTCTATATATAATATTATATAAAATAGAGTGAATACAGATCACTGATATGAGAAATAAAAAGATATAATAATATCAATTAATATAGTTAGTATAATTGATTTAATTAGTATAATCAATTCAATCAATATAATCAGTGTAATTGATATAATCAATTTAATCAGTATAGTCAGTTCAATTAATATAGCTGATTCAATCAGTAAAATTAATACTCTGATTTGATTCTTCTCTTCTGTTTTTATTTCTATCAATTACAATACTTTTTACTTCTCTCTCTTTTTTTATTCTCTATTATACTCTCTTTCTATTTTACTCTTATATTTTTATTTTTCTTCTTTAGTATCTCTATTTATTCTTTTTTATTTATCTAAATTGATATTTTTTTTTCTTTTTTTTTTATCTGCTGTATTAAAGTTATATCAGATTATATAATCTTATAGTATCACAGACAATATCATCTCTTCTCTACTTTATTTTAATTTTTCTCTTTTCTACACTGCTTTTACTTCTTTATAAGATAATGAAGAAAATTATTTTTTGATGAATTGAGAGAATATTCTCTCTCTATTTTTTGTAAAGTCTTTCAGATACAGCAGTGATGATTTCTATCAGAGAATTATACTATAGCTTTATTATAAATGATTATATATTGAATTAAAAATGAATATACAGCTTGATATAAGCTGAGTCTTCTCAAAAATTGTTATCTGAATTCTGTTTCTCTCTCTCTGTGTATATAGAAATTTCTTCAGTATAGTATATTCTCATACCCTTTGAAAGACCTCTGAAGCACAGATGCTGCTCATATCTCTCTGAAATATTAAATCTATATATACATATATATATAAAACCAAGTTTTCAGTTCTTTGATAAAATATTAATAGATATTATATAATTATAGATATAATCAGTTAGAGTAGAGTATAAAATACTATAGAGCTTTGCTTCAGTTTATATATTTGAAATTTGATTATTATCAAATATTTTGAATAGCTAAAAGAAGTCTTTCTTCTTGAAAAAAAGCTTAATGACTTTGCATTGTTGATATTTTAATTGTTATATTTAATAGCACAGTGAGATGATGAAAAGTGGCTGACTCACTTGTGTGGCCAACTCACTTATGCATTAACATACTTCACCACTTTTTGAAACACACCACTTTCTGGGACACTAAATCACATGATATAAAACTCTGTCTTAGAGTTTCTATTCCAGACTAGTGCACTTGCACTAGAGATTAATTTTGAGATGTTTAGATGTTACAAACAGACTTGATATAACTGGAGTAAATAGAAATAATATATATCTACTCTTTTATATTTAAAAGTATTATATAGTCAGACAGCTTCTCATTGACTGAGTTCACAATTTTGAACAACTAAAGCTGCTAAAGTAAGTTGATTTATATTCATTATTATTAAATACTATATCAAGCAGCTATAATCTATAAGTAGACTGGCCGTGTGACCATGCATGGAACTGGGACCAAATTTTTCCTCAGTCTCATTATTAGATATCTTAGTCCTGGTCTCATATAGTGTTTAGTAAATTAGTCACTTTACACTGTTTATATTATAAATCTAGTCTCAGATCATGTTTTACTAATAAATTAGTGATTCTGATTCCATTTGATCCCATTTTACAAAATGGGACCAAATGAAACCATGATTTACTCTATATAGATTGGCAGTGATAGATAGGTTGGCAGTGGTAGGTAGGTTGGCAGTGGTAGGTAGATTGGCAGTGATAGATTAGCAGCAATAGATTAGCAGCGATAGATTAGCAGTGATAGATAGATTGGCAGCGGTAGGTAGATTGGCAGCGGTAGATAGATTGGCAGTGATGGGTAGATTGGCAGTGGTGGGTAGGTTGGCAGCAGCACTAAGCAAGATAGGGGTAATATCTCCACCAATCATATCATCAGATTGATGTATTATATAATCATCAGAATGAGACCAAACTTGAGTCAAAATCATGATCAGTCCCAGATCATGTTCTGATTTTGATAGTCAGTCACTTTACATGGAATATCAAGATTTTTTAGTCCCATTTCACTCATGTTTTGATAATTCTAGTCACTTTACACTCCCATTCTGATCCTGGTCCCACTAAAATCATGCCAAGAAATGGACTGGGACCAAACCAAACCAAACCAAATGTGTAATTCATGGTCCCAGCGGCCAGTCTATCTATAAGTGTGTGAGGTTGAAGTTGTATTCTTTTGATTGGTGTATTCAAACTGTACTATATCATGTGATTTAGTGTCCCAGAAAGTGGTGTGTTCCAAAAAGTGGTGAAGTATGTTACATTATTTATACAGTTTATATAATCTATTTCAACAGTACTATCAACAGACTTGACACTATTCTAATAATAGATTACAAATTGATTAAGAAAAGAAAGAGAAAAGAAATCAGAGAGAAAGATTGTATAAAGAAGATTTTTATAGAAAAGGGATTGAGAGGGACAGAAGAATATTAAGAATTATACAGAGGAATTGTTAGAGCATTAGATGTGTATGTAATTGTGGGACAGAATCACAAGAGGGTGTAGAGGAAGCTTTGTAGACATGCATTGACATGTGAATGGGCGGTAGGGGATTGGTTGCGCAAGTTAACCATTAATGGGTGCTAACCCATCACACATTGTTAACAAGGCACTGCAGGATCTTGCTGCAGAACTTCTGACAGTTGTTGACAACAAGGTCAAAGGGGTGGTTTTGCGCCGCTGCACGGCATTGCACGTCAAGCGCTTCATCACTGAGAGCAAGCCCAGAGTGACTTCAACCGAAGCCCGAAGTGACCGGGAGCCGATCGGCCTCACATCTGGGACCAATGCATAGATCTGGGATTAAGAGACCATTCATGGCATCTGTCAGCAAGATGGGTTTTGGGGATGAGGATGGGCGCATACCGTCCGCCCGCTTGCCAGTGATTCCTTTGTAGCATGGAAGAGCGTGCCGGTTTCGGCGTGCACGTCCCAGAGATAGCTGCACAAATGTTAGAACGGTTGGACCTTGCTTTGAGCTTGAGGTTTACAGTGCCCAACACTTACAGTGCCCAATGTGCGGTATCTTGAGGAAACAAGAGAGATTGCTCGAAGCACAGAAGAGTGAGTCACTCGTTCGTGACATGTTGAGCTTGATGGAGAGTGACGTATGCTGAATGAAGTCTGATTGTTGTATTACAAGTAGTGGTCTAGGGGATTAAGGCTGGGGGACATGTATCGATGGAGCCGTAGAGACAAAAAAGAGATATAAGGGTGATCTTCTTATGAATCAGAATAATGGATGGAGGGAGTAAAAGCTGGGGATTGTGCTGATTTTGTATACAACCTCAAGCAGGAGGGGTCGCCCTTCTGTTTGCTTCTACAGTTACTGTTAGGCATTACTACGGCTACCCCAGGCACGTGCCACCTAACATATTGATTATTTTACTCAATTACTCAATATTGAACTCACTTCTGATAATATTTTTTTAATAGATATTATCTGAGATTCTGATGAGTATAGCAGAAATTATAGATTGTACAAAGCACAATATAGCGGACTTCTTCATGATGTCATCATGCACTCTATCACTCACGTGCATGCTCGACTTGGGGAACATGAAAAATCCAATGTTGCTCTTGAGATCGCCCAAAAAGCCTGAATGACAAGCGTCGCAAGCATTGGATGGTCAGTCTCGGGTCTTACTGGTACGATTCCCTTGTTACCACCACCGAGAAAACCGAGATCCAAACCCAGTGCTTTTCGAGCAGGAGACTTCCACGGAAAGTCGTGATTACCTCGTTGATCACATTTTTGGGCCTTGTGAAAACACTTCGCCCTTGAAGAATTGATCCGAGATCTACAGATACACCCGTGTTCATCAGAAAACAGTTGAGGCGGCTAAAGGGATATCCAGCTCTCAATGAACGGGCGGAGTCGCAGCCACCGAGCAGTGGTTCACTCAGGAAGAAATCGGCTCTTCTAACAGCTTCAAAAAGCTGTATTAAGGAAAATACTGACTTTCGATGACCTCTTTACCTAATGTCTTGGGATACTCAAATTTTGAGATAGCCTAATGCTACAACAATTACGGAGAGATCAATGTTTAGTCAAGGCGCTCTTCCGTTCCATCTGCCTCTCCCACGCTGGCATCGCCCACTTCACGATATACTCCGACTCCAAGAGCTGTTTCGCGGTTGGTCTTTCTATTGGTTCAAATGTCATCATAGATCTCAGCATATCCTCCAGGGCTTTGAACTCTCCACCAGCAACATCCCATTGACAAGTCTCCGGTGTCTCACCCCGACCCATGTCCCACATACGCTGATGCAGACGCCGGAATTCAGGCGTGCTGATGCGCTGAAAGTTGGAGATCCATGAACCATCTGAGTTGAAGAATTCAGAGCGGTTAGCCCAAGCAGCCCACCATCTTGCAGGCATATCACCCAGTGTGTTGACCATCTCAGCAATGATGTCATCCGGGTCCCATGCAAAGGTTTCAAATAATGGGCGTTCACCCACAGCATCATACAGAACAACTCCCAGTGTCCAGATGTCAGCTGCTTTGGGGATTGTGATGGGTTCATTGAAAAATTCTTCTGGTGGAGCATACAGAGCTGGTGTGTGTAGAGTTGGAGATGGTGTCTGTGAAGTGATAAAAGATGTTCCATAGTCTGAGATGAGGATCTCAGGATCAGCCACTTCATTCGCGGGCATTCTCCAAATCATGGAGTAAGTGGCGCGGGGCGGTGCATGTGGTGTGGGCGGCTTTCCATCAAGCCGCCGAACAGGGACTTCATACGGTTTGCCGTGGCACTCATATAGTTCCGTTGTGCTTAGATGGTCGAAGCTCGGGGCACGAAGGAGAAAGTTGTGCAGGTGGAGATCTATATTCATTGAGCATGGAGAACATTCCACCCTAGGAAGCAAGCGTGTATAATTACATACCTCCATGACATACATCATTTGAATGCAAATAAGCCAAACCCATAATGAGCTGTGCGGCCAGAGATCTGGCAGCATCAGGGGGAAACATGAAATTTGTACTGTTTTCCTTGGAACTTGCTACACTGCAGCCAGTAGGAACCCCAACCAAGCATTGGTGATGTCCATTAGGGCCATCAAATGAGAACTGGTGGGACAGTGTGGGTATGAATTGCTTTCCAGAACAATTCAGATTGCTTTTTGAGAGCAACTGGAGAATTTTACTCTCATGTGTATTCTGTGAAGCTCCTGCAACCAGTATCTTCAGTGATACATAACGTTGAAGCTGTTTGTCATGGGCAAGCCAGATTGTGGAATAACCGCCAGAACCAAGCTTGTGAACTACAGTGTAGCGCCCATCGCAAAAGGTGTCGCCAATGAGGGTTGGATGGTAACCGCCGGGTCTATACCCTTCCAAATCCTCAACATCCGACTCTGGGTGATATAATGCTTCTGTTGACGATGGCGTTGACTCAGTCATGGTACTAAAACACAAAAATCGATGTCCCGGCTGCGAAACGAGTTGGGGCCGCTGTCTTGTCGGGAATTTTTTGTTTCTGTATTGGTAGCGCTGCTGAAAAATGGCAAGCCGAGAAAACAAAGGTCTGAGAAAGCCGAGGGGAGTAAGCCTCCAGGCAACACTCATTATCCGGTGTGTGATCAAGGAAGCTTCAAGCTGTTGATGCTGATCGAGGCATCAATAATGCGATGTGACGGATTTAAGCATTGAGAGCGACTAAATAAGAAATGGTGTGATGGGAGCAAGATGTTAGATTCTAACATTGATTTGATTGATCAGTGTTGGTGGACACGTAATCACCGATATTGTATACTCGACTAAGGCCCTAGTGAGCCACAAGAACTCGGGGGACAATCTATATTGGTGGAGGCGGCCGTCAGACCAAATTGTTGGGGGCTCGTCCCTTCGACTACCCAGAGCTCTTTTAGTCTGGCACAAATGCGTCTAAGTCATGTGTTGATGCTAGGGAGAGATCTTGGCGCATGCCAAGACTGACCTCCAACACAATCATGCTCCAGATCAATTTTTATTAGGCCACTAGGGCAAAAGAGCTCAAACACCACCAGCGCCGTGGTGGTGGAGAGGGGGTACAAATCACCCAATCCAATTCCTCCAACAATTTTTAAGTACATCCAACACCAGACTCCAGTCATGTGATAGGCCTACCTAGGTACTTGAACCTGGAGAATCCAAATTTAGAATTTAACCGAGACAACATCCAGGGGTTTCAACAAAGAATGCATTCTCTGTTTCTTTTTTGTTACTGGATGTAGCTCCAATCATATGGATCTATTTCCGATTTCTCACCATGGCTGCCTTGCGATTCACATCGGCTAGCGCCAGTATCACATCGAGTCTGCGATTGATTCGAATTGAGACTCCCAACATTAACCCCTGGAGGGTTGCATGGCGCTTCCAGAGAACCCCTCTTTTGACATTCTTTGCTTCTACCCCATCCATTCCTCAAGCCTGTGAAGGTATATAACGAGGTTGAACGATGTGCAATGGATTCTCAAGTTCATTCTCCCTTGCCTCTTCTTAGTATTTCTCAGGTATTGGTGCCAATACCTACTGCTTCCCAAGCGCTGTGAGCAAAGTGACCCTTTTTTCCCACATTACTTAACATTGAATCTCACTACTCTCCTACCATGGCAACCCCGATTGAGTACATTTGGAAGGTCGCACGGCCGAAAAACGAAACCATCGCCCGAGCACTGATGTATGCTGCATACCAGACGGCAATCCAGACCGACCTGAACACTACCAGGGTCTTGATTCGGTGGGACAAATCATTCAAATCGAGCTCAAGACAACCTCTATATGTGCTTACTTTCCGGCTTTTGCAGGTCATACATTCACCCTTCAACCCGAACCAACGGTGCCTGGGTCAAAGACAAGCCTCATATCACGGTGTCTGTGAAAAATCCTCAGACATCCCAGGCGGGACAGCATCAAACAAGCCACGGGTACACGCCGCATATCACGTCATTTGATGTGATTAAGGTTTCCCCAAACTTGTACATTGCAGATGATAGTTCCAGTCTAGCATGGCCAGCCTCAATGGAAACAAACGACAAAGACACTTTCACGGGGCCTCCACTGTTGCTGGGACCGAAAGGTCAATTCTTCACTTGGCCTTCTGAGGAAACTGGAGAATGATGCATGTGCTTTGCTTGCCCCTGTGAAAGGGCCAATGGTTGCATTGGATTGTTAAAAGCAAGTGAAGGACACAGAAACTTGGGCATTTTTTGTAGTAGTATGTATTTAGTTTCCATGTATGGGGCGGAATGTCGTTGCTAGGTTCCGAATTTTGAATTAGGCAGACAGGTAGCTTGAAGTGTATTATTCCAATATCAGTAGCTTGTCCTTTAACCTGCCAATTCCACCTCCGCTTTGTTTGATTTGGTTTACATTGAGTTCGGGAATTCAGTGGGATTATTGCTATCTGAATCACTAGAAACAATGGAACCAACACTCTGCTCCGGGGGATTCCCCCCCGGGTTTGAAACTCTTCCTCTTCGCCTTCAATAGAAGCCGCGAAACTCCATTGCGCATTCTGATACTCAGTTTCGTTGGACACAATCGATGTGTCAGAATTCTGTGAAATAACAGCGACACTTGAACCTGCTATCTGAGCCATAACCTGTGGAATGGTTAATCTGTTCATTGTGTGATCACTAGCTAACTATATAGGGGTAATCACGTGCGGTGGAGGACCACCTGGGCAACTAGTGCCCAACAGAATGTTGGGGGGCACGTGATGATAGAGTAGCTACTAAGTGGGCTCTTTTGCCCCAGTGGTCTAACATAATAACCGAAATCATTGACACCTTTGATCACATCCTTCCAGCACGATCTCAGCTTCCATAGCTTTTCGTCTTCATCACTGAAAGTGGCCACCAGATTCCAAACGCTCTAACAGCTGTCATCCCCTTTCTTTCGCTTTCATCATGACGATTGGCCGAGCAGGCAGTATCTACCAGGAGGAAACAGAATTCAACAAAGACTTGAAGATTGAGATCGACCCTCTGAAGACGAAGTTCATCAGAGAGCTGAATGCTTCAGAGACATCATCGATATTTCATATAAACTACAATGGCAAGCCGCGTGTTCTGAAAGTCGTATGTTCCTCTGCATGGGTGCATCCTAACTCTACATCACTCTGACACTGATCTAGTTCCATAACAATGGCGATCCCGGTTATGCCGGTGATGGTGTTCGTGATTTGAATCGCTCTCGCTGCGAAATCAGGGCGTATTGCAATCTAGAGCGATTTGGAATAAGTGATGGCGGCTACGTGCCAAAGTTTTACGGGTTTATGCTTTCTCTAAACCCCACCAGCTTTGCACCCCACCTTGATGCCTTTCAACGTGACGATGGCCTTCCAAGTGCGATTTTGATTGAGTACTTACCAAGTCCCTTGATGATGAACTGTGTTACCTACAGCAAAGAGCGTATGAACAAAGCCATCATCGGCATCCAACAAATTCATTCAGCTTTAGTTGAACACAACGATACTTACCCCAAGAACATTCTCATCATTCCGGGCGACCCAGAAAGAGTTGTTTGGATTGATTTTGATGTTGCCATCACTTATCCTAGCAATACATACATTGGAGACAGGGAACGTGGCTGGATTAAGGAGGAAACTGAGTGCGTCAAAGGCTTTGGAGTGAAGCTTGTTAGTTCCCTGGAGCGGCCAACGACTAATTTTCCTGCGCATCCCTGCGGCTAACATGCTTCACAGGCCGATGACCAAAAGAAGGGTCTCCGCCCAAATACAAAGTACTACTAGCAACGCAATCCCCGACAGAAATTCTTTATCTTTTGTTAAGTCTGAGACTGTTTATCAAAGCTGCCAGTCATCATCCGCCGCCCCCAACATTCCAAGAAACCATAGTCCCAGAAGAATAGTTAAGCGTCCCTGTCCTCTCGCTTCCCACGATATAGACTGTGCCACCAGCAAGTTGCCATTCCCATCCAGCCTTTTAATCGGTACCAACTCAGTGTCAGTCAAGACAAAGCCATAACGCGCGTTGTGCTGTTTCATGTAAAAGTTGACCTGAGATAGGACCTGCTTATACTGCCTGCTATCTTCAACAGATAATGCTGTTGCCCAGTGTGACACCCATTTCCATGACACTTTCAGATCACCTGGGCAACGATTTGGGGAGGAGTTGAGTGTGCTGTTTGCTTGAAAAAATGCTATGTCTGGTCGGAAGTTGTCTATGATCTGCGCTGCATCACCTATGTCAATTGTGATAGGAGTGAGATGCAGATTTGCAAGTTGAGGTTCAAGATGCTGGAAACTAGCTCGCAGCGCTCGGCGTAACCGACTTTGGATGTAGGTGGTGAAATGGACAGCAAACATCGGCTCAGTGTTGATAGATTGTGGTGGTGAGTTTGGCATCGGTTCATCCGCAATCTGTGCTGACTGAAGCAAGTTCCCATAGCGCTGCATAACATGGGCGTAGGTGAATTCGGACCAGTCGCCAACATTGTTGATGTCTCTCCAGGAATAGCTGCCATTGGTGGTGTTGGGCGTTTTGTTGGTTTCTTCGGTAGCGAGACCCGGTGGTGCTACCATTAGATAGTCTAGGAGGGTCTGAGCATTGGCCATGGTGTTTACTAGTTTTGGATCAAAGGCGAAGTTCCTACTACGAAAACGATCATATCACTTCCTTATAAGCCCAAACCAAGTTGTCACTCAGGGCGCAAAACCCTCTCATGTTGGAGAATGGCAATCATGCTCGTTCATGCAATATGCGTTGTCTGGCAATCTAGGTACTGAGCGAATCAAGTTCGTTGTCCATCCCTGTACCAAGACAGGGCATTTACATGCACTGTTGAGCTATTCGTGACTCAGAGGAGCAAAAAATTCAGCTCGCCGTACGCTATTGGTCGAATTGGAAAGTCGCAGTGGCAGCTGCATATGGATAATTACAATACGGACCGAAGATATCATTAGGACCCATCCAGCATTAGCCAGCGCCCGCCGCCCAGCTGAGGCCGGTTTATTCTTAGCGCTGGGTACGAATCACCCAACCCAATCCCCCCAACAGATATGGCTACCGCGCGTGGTGATATTTTATAGGACTCCCAAATGTTTCAGAAGATATTTAACATTGAGTAAAATGGGGAACTGTAAATTAGACAATAGTAGGATCAGTTTCGTCGGGTAAATTTCCCTTCCCACCTTCCACCTCCAGCACTATTTTCGAGTCCCTATTATTTCCCTCAAGGCATGAGAGGCATTAATGACAGACCAACTAAACTGGGCTTGCAGCTCCCAATAAGCAATGTTATATGTGGCACTGGGTAATTGGACAAGAGCAACACCCAGTTGGTGAAGATCATTCCGGGCGGTCCCGTTCGCTGCTACGGGTCTGACATACATTCAGCGGCAGGGATACTTTGAAAATTTAGTTTAGCGAAGGAATAATAGATTGCTGGAACGGAATTAACTACTCGATTTGATTATCTAAACAAGCTACAATTGCTCACTTGCGCTCGCTTATCCAGCTTGAAAATGCGCTGTTTAATCCCTCAGATGAATGTAATGAGATATACAACAACTGCACATGACTTGTATAGATGAATTCCATGTAATCTACAGCTGTTAATAAAGAATAATCATATAGATGAAAAAGATGAATAATACAGTAGTAGTGTTGTAGAGTTAATGTAGAAGCACTAAACAAGGTGTAATTAAATATCAGACAGCTTATGTAGAGAATATAGTGATTACAATCAAATAGCAAGTATTTGAAATGCAAAGATTTACATCTATCAATCCCTCAAACATTCATAATACAATCAAAGAAGTCAAAATGACTGAATGTAAGTAGAGAACTGTCAAAAAATAAAAAATAATGACTCAGAAATAATAGAATTACAGCTAATAATAGTACAGAGCAAGCTCTGCAAGTTCTGAAGACTCTGAAGTTTCAGCAGTCTGTACTGCTTATTAATTCTCTTCTGCTTCTGCTCTATCTTCAGCAGCTCATCAATATATCTATATTCATCCCTCAGCAGCCATCTCAGCAGTTCATCAATATATAGACATCTGAATATAGACTACAACTGCTGATAGAATAAATTATCAAAAATAACAGTGAAGTGATTGCACAGCTGTGAGAGATGAGATGTAAGAGAAATATAATAATATACAAGAAGAATTTCAAGCTTCAGCTAAAAAGAGCAATAAATATAGAATCAATACTTATTCACAGCTGTGACATCAAAGTCAATTCACTGTATAACTCATATAAAAAGAATTATAGTCTGTTTATTGAGTGTATTGTGATCTCTGATATATTGAAAAGAGTCTGTATAAATTATCACTACAATTTGCTAAATAAATGCTGCAGCTTGTGATCTGATAAATAATGAATTATCTCTATAGCATGCAAATATATTAGCAAAAGATATATACAAAACATATATACTAATATAGAAATAACAGAGAATCAGCAGTTCACTGTCTCTGTCAATACAATTACTGCCAGCTCTGCAGCTGCAGAGAAGAATAAGAAAAGAAAGAAGAAAAAGAAAAAATAAACTGTCTGTAATTCAAAGGTTGCTTAAGCTTCTCAAAGCTTCTAAGCTTTGCAGCTCTTCTTATATAAAATAACTAGTGTGATAGCATACATCATTCTTGATAATAGAGGGTGGTGTACATCTTAGAAGAATAATAAGCTGAAATTACTATATTTTTCTCTATCAAATCTGTCTATACTTTTATGATGATATTCTACTGTTCACATCTGCTTTTGTAGTATACTATTTCTGAAATATTTGTAGTGCATATTTGTCAAACTCTTGTTGTGATTGTGTGTTGTCTAACTCAAAATAGTAAAACACTCTTACTTCACATATATAAGAATTTCTATCACAACAACACTGTCTCATCACTAATCATATCATATTTGCAACTATTTCATTCTATTTATTCACTTGCATTTCTTTATTCAATCTCTCTTATTTTATTTTTAATTATTCTATATATCTATTCTATTCTATCAAATCATCTAGTTCTCTCTATTCTATAATATAATATCTGATTATCACAGTTCATACTGTTCTAGTTATATCAGCTAATCTACTGATAAATTCTTATCAATCAAATCTTATTGAAAGCTAATTTGACTGTAAATCAATGACTCTTATAATTGCTAATTATTGCTAGCTTCTACTTCTTATTATCAGAGTATATATCTGACTCATAATTATTCAAGCTCTTCTTCTAATGATCTTCTCTTATACAATCTCACTTTTGTTGAAAAAATCACATCTGACAATGTTGTGAAGGTTGAATACAACAATAATAATATAAACATTTTAATTAATGATAAAAATATAAGCAAAGTAGTTGACAAGATCACTGATGCAGATGTGGGCAGTGATGACAGTATTTGTAATAATAATATAATGACAGATGTCTCTGCATTATCTTCTGTTGCTGTTTTTTCTATTTTTATTTATATTTCTGTCTTTTCTGCTGTCTCTATCTTCTCTACTGTCTCTGTCTTCTTTACTGTCTGTGCTTTCTCTACTGTCTCTGATTCTACCTCTTTTACTCACATCAATCTTTCTCTCTTCTTTTATACTGATTTTTTGCTTTTATTCACTCTCTTAGAGATATTATATATCTTCAGCAGCTTCTCTCTTTATCTCTTATATCTTTTTTCTGTATTTACTGCTTCTGAAAAAATGTGTTTTCATATATAAATTTTATATAATATAATCTGTTTTGCTAGCTATTCATCAGTCATATTTCTTACTTAAAATAAGTACAAAATATTTAGTAATTTTATATATTTCAGAGAAAATACTGTCATTCAAACAAATTGTGCTGAATGTATACAATATTTTCTTCTTCATTTATAAATTTTATTTTGACTTATTATAGATGAAATTGTTCAGAGTCTCTGTGTTGTTAAAATTATAATAGATGAAAATTCTTATATTATATTCATTCACATCAGCTTTTGCATTGCTCTTTTGTTTTTATATACTTTCAGCTTATCAGATAAATACTATCATTTTTTATATTGATATATAATTTTCAAACTGATCATTTGTAGAAAGAATATATATATACAGAGTAGTTTGAACAGTGATGTAGTGCTTTTTTATATTCAGAATGAGTATACATCTGTTTCTTATATGAATTGTATATACAGCAAAGACTTATTTCAATTTTGTATTCTATTTTCTATATATAATCATTTCATTGACTGCTCTTATCTCTGTTGTAATTATTTGTAGAGCTTCAAGAAGAGTTTCTGTTCTTTTAGTAAGTATACACTTTTTTCTTTATATTATAGTAGCTGTTAATATTTTATAGTCACTTCAGATATTACTCTGTGTATATCTATTACTACTTTTATCTCTGATTTTCTTGTAATTTATTCATTCTTCTTTACTTCCACTTCTATTTCTACTCTTTCTTCTCTTTCTTCACTTTCTATTGAATAAGTATCTGTCATTTATTCTTATAGAGATTTAGACACTCACTTCATCACTTTATTCACTTCTGTCTCACTCTTCTCTACTCTGATTGATTTTTCTCTGTGTATATATTTTTATTATTTTATTGAGCTTTCTATAAATCTTCTCATTGAAGATATTGAATTAATATATCAGACTCTTTATGAGATGAAGATATGCTTCACACTTCTATATACTCATCTTGAGATTTTGAAGTTTTTAATATAGACTGAGTTTTAATTTTTGTTGTGTACAAATTGTTTCTGAGAATGTTGAGCTTGAGTATTTTATTGATATATACTTTTTTCTTTTTCTTTATTTTATAATATTCTTGTATTTTTAGAAATCAGACAAAGCTTTTGCAGCAGTTATTAGAGCTGTGTGTAAATAGATTTTTTTTCTGACTTCTTTTTTTTCTTTCTCTTCTTTTTATCTGATATCAATCTTATACAATCTTTTATTAGTTCTATACTTTGATAATCAGATGCAGCAGATCTCATATCTTTCAATAAGAGTATTCTGCCTCCACATATTATACTGTTTCTCTTTGTAAGCTCAGATAACTACAGTAAATAACTTATTAAAACTAATTTTATCTGATCTCTGAGTATTCTCAGATGTTAAATTGATTTAATTTAGTGTATTCACTGATATTTCTGATAGTTTATTCTCTGAAATCTTTATATTCAAGCTAGTATAGACAGTCAAATTCTCATCTGAATTTCTTTTATTCTTGTGATCTGACTCATGTGTTGATCAGCTATCTTGAGCTCACCTCTGACTATATTACATTTACTATCTATATTACAATATCATACAGTCAGTGACAGTCTTATCACTTATCAGTGTGTACTATATACCCACTTTTTTCATTTTCTTTTATTTTTTTTTGATTATTGTGAAGAGATCTGAGTAAGTGATACTGTTCAGTTTATAAGTATTGATGATTTCTCTAACTTCTCAGAGCTTTTCTATTATAAGTTCTCTTTTCTTCAACACTGATGATAGTACTGTAGATGATCACAACTCATTTAAATCTTTCACTTTCATCTCTATAAAATAAAAGTTATTGATAAGATTGTATAGAATCTGCTTCTCTGATTTCTTCAAAGCATACATTTCAAAAAG